TATTAAAGAAATTTGGATTACAATAATTAGTCTTCTTTAACTTACAAAATTATACGATTAGTCAATTTTTTTTTACTTATATTAAATCAATTTTTGATAAAATCTCATTAATCATATATAATAATAATAGTTAACTGGTTGAACAGCCCATTAGAAAAATGAAAAAACAAGTGAAATGAAGATGAATTTGATTATATATGTTGGTGGGTATGGCATCTGTTGGTGCAAGGAAGCTTATTATTTGGGGCCACTGTGTTTTTTTTTTTATTTTTTTTTATTTTAAGGTTATTATTTGGAGTAAATATTAAAAGGGAAAATGAAAAAAGGCTGCAAAAGAATATAGAAATGGAAATCAAGGTCGACCCACTCTTTTATTGTATTGTCACAATCCATTTTCCTTTTCCCCGCAATTCTCTCTCTCTTTCTTCTGCTGTATCGTAAAATATATTATTATCCACACACTCACTCACTCGTCATGCCAACCCTTCAAACTTTTCTCCTTTTTTTCAGGTTTTTTTTTTTTTTTTAATTTCAGTGAAAAATATTTACCGAATTAGCTTATGTATTTATTAAGAGTAAATACATATTTAATTTAATAATAAGTGACTATGGATATGTAATTAATTGTTATCAACAAGTAATTTTTTGAATATTTGGAGAAGAGATTTAAATTTGAATTTATTATTAAGTCGTATATATATTTATCATTAAATTATATCTTAATATACATTGATTAATAATTTTTGGTAAAATTAAAGACTAAATGATAGTTATTTGAAATATCAATTTCAAGGTTTTTGTTATAATTTTAATTTCGTTATATACATCAACTATATTGAAATCAAAATTGAACGAATCTAAATCATTCTCGGTGTGAGCTCACGTAAATTGAAATCGACTGCTTGTTCACCAAACGCTAAACATTGATTTATTACAATTTCACATTAGCTGGATTCTTTTACTTAAGCCAATCGAAGAAGTACCTATATTTAAAAGCTAATTCGCAAGGCTAACATGTATGCAGATTGGCTTTCAAAGTTTACAACTAGCTTTCAGTTAGGTGTTTATATGTTGGAGATCCTCCTTTAGATCTTATTCTTTTGTTGTCTCGTGGTGTAGCGGGTTTAGCTTACATCCGTTAGTTTTCATCTTCCTTCCTTATGTTAATTTTATTGTTTCAATTTTTAAATGCTTGTGATCAAAATTTGATTAAAAAATATTAACTTCGACTCAATTGATAAAGCTATTTCTGTTACTATAATTTTTGGTATATAGATATGAATTTCTACTTTCCTTTCAAAAAAAAAAAAAAAAAAAAACGACCTCAAGTTGATTAAAGCTATTCTCTGTTTACTATAATTTTGGTATATAGATATTGAATTTCTACTTCCTATTCAAAAAAAAAAAAAAAAAAAAAAATAAAAAAAAAAAAAAAAAAAAAATACAAACATAATTATGGATTGAAAGATTAAATTTATATAAATAAATAAAACTGCATGATGATACAAACTTATTTCAGGTAAGAAAAAATATCTTTAAGGGATTTTCTTGGATTAATTAGTATGTTCTACTAATTATTTTTATTTTGTACTTAATAATTAGTATTATTTGATAATATTTAAATTTGGAAGGCAAAGGGCTGGAAATAAAAGGGACTTGCAATTTGCAAACAAGGCAGAGACCTGTGAACGTGAAGAGTATCCCATCATTACTCTCTTTCTTCTGTCAGCTGGCGGGAAACCTCTTAAAAATGTACACAATTTCTTTTTTTTTTTTTTTTTTTTTTTTTTTTTTCTTGTAGGACAAAAGAACATTATACACAAAAAATCAAAACAAACTTTAAAATACACACTCAAAACCCAAGGCTTTCTGCTCCAAAATTTTTTTTTTTTTTTTTTTTTTTTTTTCTTGTAGACAAAGGACATATACACAAAAATATCAAAAAAACTTAAAAATACACACTCAAACCAAGGCTTTCTGCTCCAAACAAGCACAAACAAATGGATAAAAACAAAAGATCTACTCAAAAGAAGCAAAACTTAATTTCAAACCAATGAATCTTAAGTTCAAACTTAACACAAAATAGAATGCATAGTAATGTGTGGGCCAAAATTGGATGTTTGGTTTGGTATTTGTAATCTAGGTTTATTAGTATGAATTAATTTGATAACTATTAACAACTGACTGTATTAGTATTTTGAAATTGGTCAATTAAATTCAATTTTTTTTTATAAATCCCTGATATCCAAATTTATAATCAGTGACCACTTAATTTAGTTTGGAGTTTAGATACGGTTAAGGCTCTTAGCTCATTTTTATAAAATTTTTTTCATATATTCAATCAGCATTGCTATTTAAACCACAGCCCAAAGTAGTTAAATTCAATTTTAAAATCAAAGATAGAAAACAATTAGATAAAAGCATTTGATAGAGTACTTAAGTAATTAAGAACAGCTCTTGCCCTAATCAATACGGTCTCGTTTTTCACCTGAAAAATAAAGGAGTAAATGAGAAAAAGACATATAGGGGGTGGTGTGACATTCTCATAACGTGTCCATCTTTGCTATTTGGGAAGAAAAAAACAAGTGCTTGTTACTATTTGTTATTATTATTATTATTATATATAATTGTTTAAACTAAGTTAAAAATATCATTATTCTTTACGGTTAATTTTTTTTTTATTATGAAATAGACATTTTATTAGTTTAGAAATATTTTTTTCTTTCATAATCATTGAGCACAATCACCACATTGTTATTTTGATTCTTAAGAAATTGATAATATTAATTTACCCCTTAAATTTACATAAATTATGTATATATTTATTTAAAATTAACCTTTTATGTAAATATCACCTCAACTTTGCATAAAATGAACAAAAAGGCCGAATTTAAAAAATAAAAAAGTAATTTTTATATTTTAATGAAAATATTATTATCCATATTAGAGACAAAAATTATGATTTTTGGCTACAAATAATTAGAGTTTTTTGGTCATTCAATTTAAAAAGCTGCGGTTATAATTATATATAAAAAAAAAGTAATTTTTAAAATAAATTATATATCACCTCTAAATATATATATATATATAGAGAGAGAGAGAGAGAGAGAGAGAGTGATTTCACAAGTCAAAACAATTTTTATAAAAAGGTGAAAGATGACCCCATGAAGTGGCATCGAAGGATGGGTATTTTACTTGTGATCAATAATTTGGACCATTTTCTGATTTTGATGTGATTAGACTGCCATCACTATTTCTTTCTTATTATTATAAATATCAGATTTTTTTTTTATTTTTTATTTTTTAGCATCTGGGAAAGGACAAAATTTGTTTCAGACCAATCATCTGAAATCAAGGGATAACAATTTTTAAGTTCATTTTGGCATTTTCTCCTAATTAGCAGTATTTTTATTCTTTTTTTCTTATCACAGGAACATTTTTAATTTCATTAGTTACAGAAACCTTCACTGATTTGACAATTCATATGTATAAATAAATTATAATAATTCATATCTAAAAATGAGTCAAGTCCAACTACATTTATGTAGTTTTTGCATCAATATTTTTCTCAAATAGTTTCTGTTCTTGTTATCAACTCTAGCCATTTTGATTTGAGTTAGCAAATTTATAATCTTGCTGTATAAAAACTTCATGCAAGCCAAAAGGTTAAAAAAACACACTCAAATATATTTACCCTCGTACCTCTATTTCTCAGAAGAAGTTGGCTATGCATGAAAGTAAATTATGCTTGAAAAATAAAACACAAACCTTTGAAATTAAATTATTGTTGCATTGGACTTGAAATCAAGTTGTAGTATTGTTTGATTGTTGTGTCGTTGAGAAGTCTTTCAGAGTCAAGTAAGTATTATCTCTTCTCCATTACTGGACCTTCTTGAACCTAGTTGAGAATGTCCTACTTCGTGTACGCTCTGAACAGAGTACACCATTATTATCTATAATAATAATAATCAACTCACCTACTTTATTTTACCCTTATATTGATTAATTAATTAAAATCTTTTAATTTAGTTTAATTTGGATTTTATCTTTTTATCTAAATCAAAACACCACATGCAAAAAGTAGTCCAACTGAAAGAAAAGGAATGGTAAATTTAAAATGGAGCAGGATGCAAGAATAGGCCCAAACAAAAGCCCAAACGAGGAAACCATTTTAGAGTTTGACTCCTCTCAACTTCAAACAGCCTACCTGCTCCTTTCATTCAGACCAATAAATAAATTGAAAGGAAGACATCCCCTCCCCCTCCAAAGATTTTCCGACAAATTTTTAAGACGTTGATGTCCTCTTCTCTTTGGTACTACTTCTTGTAAGGACTGTTAGGCGTATGTCTTCTCCTCCATCGTTGGTTAAGACTTAAGACAGAGACCTCTTACCACCGTTCAAAAATCGCGTGTCCTCCACTATCTCTTCACGAGCGTATTCTTCTCAACCGTTTCTCTTATCCTTTTTGTTTCCACGGACAGCCTAATATTAAATGCATGTTTACGCCAAACGCGCGTCACTTATGTCGGAAGTGAGCGCACGTAGGCAGCTGCCTTAAATGCCGACAATTTATTTTTTCCTAAGTAATTCCGTGTCCTAATACATATATACACACGAACACATTTCATTTTCATACCCACGCGCCCCCTCCTCCCTCACGCGCCGTCTACCATCTCTATGTTTAGACCCCACTTCCCTCCTGTCTCACAATTCAGGGTACGGCGTAATGTAAGAGCACACGATTAAAAATAGTGAATAAATAATAGATTTCAGTGTCAGTTGGCGCGTGGAATGCGCGTGGACGTCGGATTCTTTTTTTTTTTCTCCTTTCTTTTGTTTGTGCAGACTGTACCAACACCACTGCCACTACACATCAGGCTACTGGATTGAACAGTAAAACACCACTTTTACGGCGTGGTAAAAATAAGAATTACCAGCGGCTTACCGGTTGTAGCCGGTGGAAATGGGTTTTTAGAGCCAAGGGATTTGACGAACGGGAAAAGTATATCAAGAGAGGACTTAGGAGCAAAACATTTCCCTTTTGCAGAGAGTGAAAAGAATTCATGTCCACATCCTCTCAATCTTCTCTTATCTCCTTAATCCTCTCTCAACAAGAATTAGTGACTAAAGACTAAATTTTTTTTTTTTTGAATAATTTTTTATAGGGAGAGAGAAGGATGGAATTTGAGGATCAAGAAGAGCATGATGAGGAAGAAGAGATGGATTTGCCGGCGAGTTACGACTCGTTGGGAAATTCAACCCGAGTCAAAATGACGAGTTCAGGAGCTGAAACGGGTCACTCAACGAAACCCAGATATAGAGAGTGTTTGAAGAACCACGCGGTGGGGATCGGTGGACATGCGGTAGATGGGTGTGGAGAGTTCATGCCGGCCGGAGCTGAAGGAACACTAGATGCGCTCAAATGTGCAGCGTGTAACTGTCACAGAAACTTCCACCGGAAAGAAACTAATGAAACAACAAACCCCGGTGGGGGTGGAGGTGGAGGAGGAGAACTGTTTTTTCACGGTCATCCTCACCCTCATCACCTTCAAGTCCCGCAATTCACTCCATATTATAGAACTCCGGCAGGTTACCTCCACGTAGCTCCGCCACAACAACGGCCACTAGCATTGCCATCGACATCAGGAGGGCAAAGTAGGGAAGATCAAGAAGATGTGTCAAATCCAAGTGGTGGTGGATTTGGTAGCGGTGGTGGTTCTTCAAGAAAGAGGTTTAGAACAAAGTTTACGCAAGACCAGAAGGAAAGAATGTTATCACTAGCGGAAAGATTGGGTTGGAGAATTCAGAAACATGATGAAGCAGTGGTGCAGCAGTTCTGTAATGAAACTGGAGTCAAAAGGCATGTGCTTAAGGTTTGGATGCATAACAACAAGCACACTTTGGGTAAGAAACCCTAAAAATGAAGACTTGGTGAGAAATTTTTTTTCTCATTTTCTTCTGGTATCTATCTTTAGGATATTTTTAGGTAGTTTCCTTTTTTTTCTCTCTCTCTCTTTTAAATTTTAGGTTTTCTCTTCTTTTCTGTTAGTATTTTCTTGGTGATGGTGGTGGTGAGGGTGATGATGGTGGTGGTGGGTTTTTTATGTTATGTCAGTCAGGTGGGTTTTTAGAGTAGTACCCCAGAGAAGATTAATGTTGATGATGATGATGATTATGATGATGGCTATTTTTCTTTTTTTTTTTTTTTAATTTCCTTGGGTTTTATGAGTTTCAGTGGTTATTTTGCTTTGTTTTCTGCACCAAGAGTGAGTGAGTGAGTGAGCTCAACTAAGTACTATTCCCCTACTACTAAATTACATGGAAATTTGGTAAGTCAATAGAGCTTTTTGATTTCATAGGTAGTTCATTATCTGAGTCTATTGATAAGTACTCTAAACTGGGAGAAAACGATAAAGACAAAGAACATTCTTGAAGTTGATCTAGTTCTTGTAATTTTATTAAAACTCAAAACTTTTTCTAGCATTTGCATATGATACATAAGCTGCATTTTCTGTTTTTATATATTTCTCCTCTTTCTATATGCTTATTATATAGTTTGATAAACAGAAAGGTTTTTCTTTGAAAACAACTTTAAAATTTTCCTTCTCCATTTATTCAATGTGGATTTTTTTTTTTTTTTGGGGGTAGGCTTACTGGTGTTGCTGTAATCTCATACACATTTTGTTAGCTAGCTTTGATATTCTCTTCTTCTCCCTTTTTGTTTCATTTGCTTGTCTTTTGAAGGTACTTGTATAAAACTTTAATGCTCAACCAAAACTTAAGGCTTCTCACACTCCATATGGGGCCTCCTACTGGTCTGTTTTTCTGCTGCTAAGTCTTTTGCTCTATTTGCACTGCATTTGCTTTTTCAGTCATCAGACTTCTCAGATGCTGATGACGATAATATTTTCTTTTTTCAATTTCTCTTTTCTTTCTTAATATTTTTTTAAAATATTTTTATTATACATATGTAAATAATTTTCAAGATAATTAATTATTTTATAGACTGTATAATCACATGATCCATTTCAGATACAGAAGGTAAATCCCAGATGCTTGATCATTGATGGGTCACCTTGGGAAGGAAAGAAACTGAACCAAATATTTCTTGTTTTATCATTTTATGTGTCTTTATATATATACATATTATAATTTTTATATATGTTTATTTTATTGATTAATGAAAATTAAAATGTATATACTCTTGGGAAAGAAAATTAATGCATCAGCAAGAACAGTTGTATACTCTCATGGAAAATGTTGGTTAAAGTTCATGTTCGAGAAAGTCGATAGATCCAAAGCATGGTCTCTTGAATTGAAATTTCTCTTTTTTTTTTTTTTAATTTTATTTTATACATGAAAACTTATAAATAGCTTCAAAGGGAACATGTGGGCTCTCCAGCAGCAGCAGAAACTCTAAAAAATACACATCAAAGGGGCACACAGCTTTTGTCTTCAATTCTTGAAACTAATATTTCCCTTCATTTTTCAGCTTTTTTAGTGAATATACATAAATATATATAGGGAGAATCCCATTAAGATCCCCTACAGAATCTCAACTAAAATTAAACAGTTCTTGTTTGTTTCTGTTTTTCTTGAATATACATATTCAATCTTTCTTTTTTGGGTTTATTTTTTTTAATTAATTTTGATTAACAAATAAACGGTTAATAAAGGTGATGTAGAGGGAGAGGGAACCTGATTGCTTATATAAGGCAAGGTGTAAAGAAACATGGAGGTTATGTTGTTTTACCAGTTCCATATATGGGGTTTGATGCTTCAAGTTAACTAGCAAGAAACAATAGTATTCAACTATTGATGCTTTTGCTTCTTCTGGTGTCCAAAAATTAACAACAGCATATACACTATGAAGATCCTTTTCTTCATTAGGGAAATCAAACACCAGAATCAATTAAAGCTGAGTACTATATACTGGAAATATATATATGTATTTGTGTGGTCCTTTTTTTTTTTTTAAAAAAAAAAAAAATGTTTGTGGGGAATCTGAGTCAAAGGTGTTATGGCTCTTCTTAGCTGGATCAAGATAGTGATTGATCAATACATACACTATTCTTAATCTGATCATGTATTGTCTTTTTCTGCTTATTTTGCCCTTTCAAAACATCTGAATTTTCTGAGCATTACCAATCTATAATGGGCAATTAGTGAAATAAATAAATTATTATGCTAGATTCATCAAGTCACTTGCTTTTATTTTGTTTCTCCTGCTTTAGGTCAAAATCCTGAGTTCAAACTAAGACCTACTCAATATCGGAGCCCTAATTGTGAAAAATAAAACGACCTAAGTTCGATTTTGATTAAACCTCTAGTTCTCAGCCGGACTTAATTTATTTACACCTTTATTTATAGCATAATGGATCACTATCTAAAGCTCAAGGATATATATGATAATGTGGTTGAGCAAATTTGGGCGTATAAACCTCTGTTCAAAACCCTAAAATTTTTGTCTACCTTATCTAATTTGAATGTTCTTCCATTGTTGTGGTTTATTAGATTTCACATTTCCTTAGTAAATCTTTATACATTTCAATCATTTATTTTTAAGAAAATTTTTGTTATATTTCAAGATATTGAGTGATCGAATGCTTGTTTCATAGTGTAGCAAGTTTAACTTTTCAAGTTCAATTCATGAAAATTTCTTTGTACTAACTCATTGCCGGAAGAGTCAAATTCCGGCCCGCCGGTGCATATAGAGCCAATTGAGCCATGTGTGGATTGGTTTAAACTAATAGTTGGTTTGATTTAGAGCACATGGCTTAACCAATTGTCTCTATTTTGAATAGAAAAAATTTGTATTAGACTAAAAACTCAGGCTTGCATGAGATTTGATCCATTGAATTCTGTTACAAGAAAGGCTTGATCCATTGAATTTAAGTTATTAAATGGTTCCTAGCTAGCTAAAAACAGTGCATGAATGTCTTCAAGAGATAATTCTTAGACAATATCAAAGTATTATTAAACTTGGAATATTCTGTTCTACTTGTAGCTTAGAAACACTACACTAATCCGACAGTAACTTGACACCAATTAACTCATAACTCATAGGTGTTTCCAATTTTTCCATTACTTCATCATTATCAATTTAATTATCACAATAGCTGACTTGCTAATGATCCCTTCATTTTGTTAATGCAATCTGTGAAGTTCTTTTGACTCCAATAAATTAATCAGGTGTCTCTCTACTATAGGGATGTCCATTTTATCTGCCTGCCAAGTATCCCATTCGAACTTGACTTTAAGATTTAAAGGTTCTAACAAAACATGGATGGTAATGGAAAATAGAAGCGAACAAAGATTATAAAAAGTTAACTCGAATAACGTTTAGCTAGTAACATTTTATGAAAAGTTATTAAAATAGCTAATAGTTAAATGCTACTAAAATAATTAATAGCTACCAATTGTCGAACAGACCCTTTAAATTAATTAGTAATATACTGTTACATCAACTTTTTCGTCCTCTCAATCATATTACAATTAGGGTTTTGATGCGGTTAGCTATAGCTTGTAATAACAGAGCAGCCTTAATTAGATGAACCGTAGGTACTAAATTTGAGCAAGTAAAAAATCCCATGTTTGAAGATAGGGTAGGTTTTAAAGTGAGAAATTGTAAAGTTTGACCAATACTAGGTCACTGCCTATTTATGCAAGTGACTATAAAGTTTTTTTATCATTAAATTCTTTAGAGCCCAACCGCTTGGACTTATATGGCTCTTCTGCCGAGGAGAACAATTTGTATTTTGTAGTGATGAACTAATTAGATAAAACATATATAAAAGATATGTACAGGCAAAATTATCATTTCATCAACGGAATTATTAACCATTTAAATTCAATTGGATAAAAGCTAAGATTTGAAAATTTAAAAACAAAAAAATAAAAAAAAAATTGAGAGAATCTTGGTAGCTTTGTATACTCTTCCCTAGACATGTCATAGTCTATTAGAACACAAGAAGCAATGCAATTATGCAAAGAGCAAAGAGAAGAGGGAGGGTGTTTTTTGGGGGGTGGGGGCTCAAATTATAAAGATTCGTTCGGATTGCCAACTTTTGGAAAGCAAGAAAATACTTAAAAATTAGAAGGAAAAAAAAGTTTGATAGAAGCTAGCTATGGGTTTTATACATTTGGAGATGCCTTTTAGGCCTTTTCACTCTCCTAAAGATACAAGACTATATTATATGACCATTTGCCCAATCAAAAATTCTAAATATAATGCATTTTTTCTTTCTTTTATTATTATTATTATTTTTTTTTTTTAGATTTAGCTTTTAGTGGGATTCCAAATTCTTGTTTTCTGTTTTGTGGGATGTTATTATGTCAGCCCCACAAGGCCACAAATTTGGCAGTTTTTAATTAGCTGAGCATATGAATCCAAATTTTTGTTTGGTAGAAGGTCATTGGGAATTTCATATTTTTAATTTTATGCAATTTTTTAAATTCTACTTAAAATTAATAAAATTTATAGCTGAAATCTAAACTGAAAAAAAAAAAAATGAAAATGAATATTAAACTAATGAATTCCAAATCCAGGCTAACAAAAATAAATATTTAAAATAAATTTTATAATTATTTTTGAATATAAAATTTCACTTACAAATACATTTTTTAATGAAATTATTTACAATAAAATGAATAATTTATGTAAAGATCCATTACTAATTATTTATAATGATTGAGTATTTGGAAATTAACTAATTATACGTATTCTTTTTCAATTCACTCCTTTTAAAAATTAAGATTAAACACTCTTTATAATATTTTGTTTAAAATTTTTTTCTAGATATGCGACTGGCCGTTGTACTGAACCAAAAAAAAAAAAAAAAAAAAAATATTTTGTTTTTAAAATTTTTTTTTCTAGATATGCGACTGGCCGTTGTACTGAACCAAAAAAAAAAAAAAAAAAAAAGTTACCATTTACTCTATTAATTGTACAAGCAACTTTTATTAGCGACTATCGCATAATAGCTTTGACCACGGAAGATAATAATTCACTCTCGCCTCTGTGCTCGTAACCAAAGCCAAAATCGGTTTTAAGGTACGGACCATGGAGCAGGTTATTTGGACCATTGGCCTATTAAACTTAGTGATGGGTGTTCTTTGTTTTTAGGAATTTTTGTTGATCGATGAAAGTCCGACTGGATTAAAAAATATTATGAATTAGTATACAGAGATAATTACTTCTAAACTCATCAA